TTTTTTTTTTTTTTTTTTTTTTTTTAAGAAAAACTGGCAGTCAGTTAGGCTTGGAAATTGTTGAGTTAGAAAGTTCTAGCTTGGCCAACCAGCACTGCAGTATAGTAGGAGGAAAAATTCACAAATTTGGATATTTAAAAAATATTACATATTTGCTAAGTAATTTTCAGAACTTTTATAATAAAAAGAAACCTCAGATGTTTCCAAAGATAATCTTTTGTATATTCTTTACATTTTCTGGGATGATCTTTTTGAAGTTTTCCTATGGCTGAACAAGCTGGTTCCTTTAAAAGAGCCTGTCTAGGAGGGAGACCATCTATGGTGAGCAAGTTTCTCTGTATGAGCTTCAGAATATTTAAATCTCTCTCTGTACCTCCACCTCATTGAACTCGGTCCGAAGGGTGCACATATTTTCTTGGCAAAGTCTCTAGAGACTTTCTTTTCTTTATTTGGTGTAAATGAACATAGGAAACTGAGGAAAGTGGATTTTGAAGAGACTAATCTATGCTGTCACCAGACTGGTGGACTAAATTTATCTTTCAACCCCCTGATGATTTATTTGCTCACCATGTGCTTTCTAGACTCTTGAGGGAACCTGGATGTTGGTAGATTATGGGTCTGCAGAAAGATAAATGATCTTCAAATGACAGGAAGGCCGGAAAATGAGATATCATCAGTCTTAGATTGGAGATGACAGCTGCACCTATTCCTAGACAGGGTTGAATCTTTTCTTTAAGATTTTAAGAATGTAGGTTTTAAAAGATAATATTTTAAGTGAGTAGTCTCCTGGGCTCATCACCCAGCTTCTAGTTCACCTTCATAGCTGCTCTGCACAGCTATAGTATTTGGCTATTGTTTACATATGCTAGTCCGTACACCCATCCTAACGCTGAGGTACTTGCTTCAGAAGTGCATACTATTGCTATTTGGGGTGTGATACACCATGCTTTACTCTGATGTGCAGGGGCAAGGTTGAACATCTGTTGTATGTAGAGGTGACTGCTTGACAATAATGGACTAGGGCATACTTATTTCTAAATCAAGATAATGCCACCTGTGGCCCCAGAAATTGACTGTTGGGTTATAATTTATCACCCACCTCTTCTTCTCTAATTCCTAGTGAGACAGTGGAGAGACAGTCCACATCCAAGCACCCTGAATGCATCAAAAATCTTTGAGAAACGATCTCCCAAAGCTCTGAGGTAAGCTCTATGGTTTTCTCACAATTATGCCTGTGTTTTGCAGACTTGCCTGATCTTGACAGTCATTGTATGTGTAGTGGTGACAGGACTAGGTCTTCGAGGCAGGGACAAATGAGCCTAATGAATAGGCAAGTTGAAATCCTCCTTTAACCACTGTGTAAGACTTATTTCCTCTGTTGCCCTATAAATACCACATATTTAGTAAAGGATGACCACAGACTTAATGCTTGAGTACAAAGGGGAGCTGTACTAAATATTTCTTGTGCTACTCACTTGTTCTAAGAAGCAAGGCCGTTATGAAAACTTTTGTAGAATCTATCACCTAATTTGAATTCATGGGGATAACACAGAAATGAAAACTGGCCTGGTTTATGATACATAATAATGTAAGCAATTCTTAGCTCCCAAGAGCGGAGAAGATAAATTAATACCATAGCCAACCTCTTGAAATAAAGACATAAAATTTGGGGTGATTTTACACCTAAACACCATGAAGTTAATACCCCAAATAAAAAGAGTTTCTTTATTTTCATTTTTGTTAGTACACGTTTGCAGTACATAATGATTACATTCATTATGGGAAGTTGGCCCATGTACATAACACATCTTAATTCTTTTCTCATCCCCTTCTCCTTCCCTCTCCCTCTATCTCTTGGTCCTCTTCCCTTCTGCAAATGATCTATCTTCCTGTTTACTCTTTTTAAATTTCACTCTTTAATTTATTTGTATTTTGAGTTTCTCATATAAGAGTAAACCTGCAAAATTTAAGCTGTGTCAGATTTATTTTACTTAATAGTATGGTATCAAGGTGCAACTATTTTCCTACAAGTGAATCAAGTGTATCCATCTTTATGGCGCAGTAATACTCCATTGTGTGTAAATATCACATTTTCTTTATCCATACATCTGCTGGTGGACATATAGATGGCTTTCAAGATTCTTATGCTCTTAAGAGATGACCTACAATGTGGGAAAAAATTTTTTACCAGCTGTTCTTCAGACAAAGGACTACTATCTAGAATATATAAAGAACTTAAAAAAATTAGATTCCCCCAAATTTATAGACTCAATTAAAAAATGGGCATCTGAAATGAACAGACGATTATCAAAGAAGTAAAAGTAGCAAATAAATGTATGAAAAAATGTTCAACATCACCAGTCATTTGAGAGATGAAAGTGAAAACAAAAAGTATTAACAAGAATCAAAACATATAATAGATAATGTGAAATAGGAAGAAAGGGTGCAAAGGGGAAGGCGAAATAGAAGGGTCAGGGGAAAGGAAAGAAGGGAATGGAATAAATATGAGAAAATGAAAAAATGAAAACAAAGTCTTTGTAAATAGGGAGAGGTGAAGAGGTTAAAGGGAGGGCAGGGGAATGGAGAAAAAATAAGAACCAAGATATATCATGTAAAGGTACAAATTCCCAGTGATGAAGGTCATCATATTGTATACCTAAAATGTATCAATATACGTAATGAGAAAAGATTCTTATACTCTTTATATAAAATAGGCTGTCTATAGGTATGTATGTGTGCATATATATCTATATATATAACGTGTATATATACATATGGTACAGGCATATATATAGGTTCACAGATAACACTAAGTATAAAAACTTTATGGACCATGCTTAATTTTTGTTTATTTTCCTTGTAGAAAATATTTAAGTGGGAAGAAGCTTATAAATACTTGATTTTTTAACTGGTTGATCTCAGCCGTTGAGACACTAAAACATGGGGAGGGCTAAAATGATAGGCAGTTACTGTTGGAGTATAGATAAAGTTTGTTATGATAAATGTTTTATTCATTGCACATTTTTATATTCTTTAAAATCAGCATCCTTAACGTGAAATTCACAAGTGAAAAAATGTGGAGTCTATAAATCAATGATTGTTGACAAATAAATGCACTTGTGTAACCACTTTTTCAAAACATGTAACTGTTCTATCAGGCCTGAAACTCTGCTTGTTCTTTTTTGCAGTCACCTGCACCCCTAAATACAGCCAGGTGCTGCTGATTCCTAGTATAGATTAACTTTGCCTGTGCTAGAATCATAAATGGAACCATGCATTCTGCATTCTTTTGCACTTGGCTTCTTCTGTTCAACACATTGTCAGTGTGATTAATTCACTCTACTGCACATTTCAGTAGTTTGTCCCCTTTTTTCTGGCATTTTACTGAGTACTACATTTGGCTTATCCACTTATCTGCTGATGTGCATTTAGTTTTTTTGTAATTCTTTACTCTTGTGAATAAAGCTGCTGTGGACAGTGATGTGTAATTGTTTCTGTGGGCATATATTTTCTTATCTCTTGATTAAATACTTGCCAATAGGGTTGATGGGTCATATAATAAGTATTGCAGTGGGTTTGAAGTGGTATTTCATTATGATTTCAATGTACATTTCCCTGATAACTAGTGATCTTGAATACTTTCCATGTACTCTTTGGTCATTTGTATGTCTATTTTTGCTTATTCAATTTTTTCCCCATTTATGAAATTGTTTATTTCATTGTTATTGAGTTGCAAGACTTCTTTATATATTATCATATATTCCCTTTAAAAATGTTACTGTTATTTACTTCTAGTCTGATCATGGCTAGTTGGAGTCCTGTGTGCCTCACTTATCTGTATGTCAACTTCTGCCCTGCTTGGAAAATTATCTGCCATTACTTCTGTGAACAGATTTTTTTTATGTCACTTGCACTCTTTCTGGTTTCTTTATTGACTGATCAGTCTTACATTATTCTCTTTTGCCATGCCTAGCAGCTGCTAGATTGATTTCTCCTGGACCCTTACTATTTTTAAGAAATCTTTCTATTCCTGGTCACTAATTGCAATCCTGTATTCTGTGTCTGAAATTTTGTCCTCAGATTGGCTCATTCTGCGGCATAAACTTTCAGTGGAGTTTTTAATCTGCTAGGAATCTGTTTGCATCTGTTTTATAGATTCCATTTACTTCCTATATTGGGATTCCACTGTGTTCCTCAGCTTCTCTGTTTTTTTTAATCTGTGTTTGCTTTGGATTTATTAATCATATCTTGCAATATGGGCACAATCTCTGTTGTTATCTGAGAAATTATTTCTGATTTCATTTTCTCCAGATCCCCTTTCATTGCCAGTTTAGGGAGTTCAGATGGTTGAGTATCACATATTCCATCTCATTGCCCTTTGGGATTGCCTTAGGTGATCTGGGAGTACAGTTTTGAGACTTGTTTATGTGTCTTCTCATTTCAACAGATGCAGCCTGCTGCTCTTTGTTGAGGTAACTTTTTGTTTACCCAGTGGTCTTTAATTTTCAGCAAGTCACTGAGAGGCCTTTTCTCTGCTGCTCACTCCTGCACCAGTTCCTGGGTTTAGAATGGTGGACTTCTGGATCTCTACACTGCCCTGTTGTCTGGGAGGGCCCTTGGCTGGGGGCTGTGCACCCTAGTCACTGGTGTCTGAACAGGCTTCTGTGTGAGGTCTGCATGCACCTACCAGTGGTATCTGGGCAGGCCTTTGGCTGTTGCTTGTGTGCCTGTGCAGCTCTGTGGGCCTTTGGCTGGGCCTGTGGGTCCAAAGTGCTGGGGTTGGGACATGGCCCTGTCTGGGACCTGCCCACAACCACTCTAGTTAATGCCATTTGCTTCTAGTCTGTAACTTGCCTTTGCATTTTCTTAATAATGAATTATGCTGACAAATTCTTTCAGTTTTTTATTTTGAAAGTAACTTTTTAAGACTCTGCTTTAAAAAATATTTTTAAAAGATATATTAACCCTTGTAGCTTCACTTGTACAGCTCTTTATTTCTCTGTGTAAATCTGTATTTTCATTTGTACACATTTCCTATCTTCCTTAGTTGATATATTTTGCCAAATAAACAAATAATTCATTTTACCTCATATTTTCTCATAAACAGAATGAAACATAGGACTTAAATATATTCTACATGTTGTGGTACTTCAAAGAATCTTCCCAAGTTATATTTTTCCTTCAAACTCATGTTTTATTGCTGTGCTAGCTTTAATACGTTCTACAACTATATGTTAAGAGCTGCTCTCATTTGGAATAATCAGGTTTGGTCTTTATGGAAGATTCATGGATAATCCTTTTGGGAGAAAATAATAACCTTTCTTTTGAAATAGACAGCTCTGCAAAAACTTCCCTGTTTCTCTTCCATTGTGATCTCTCCTTTCTCATTTTCCTCTGAAGTGTGACCAGAGCTTGGTACTAATAGTGAATGACTTAGCAGGTGATTTTAAAAAAGGATGAGGCCTTTTTCAGGAAAGAACAAAAAAAGGTTTTGTACAAGTACAGCACAGGGAATAAACTGCAGGGTCCTAGTGGATAACAAAATCTACAAATGTTCAAGTCCCTTATATAAAATGATGGAGTGTTTGCGTGTAACCTGCCCACATGCTCCTGTAGATTTTATTTTTATATCATCTACAGATTACTTTTACTTACTTAAGTGTAAATACAATGTAAATGTCATGGACTGAGTACTGTAAACATCGTTACAGCAATAATAAAAACAATGACTAGGAGAAAAGGAAATAATGGCAAGAAAAATAAAGTGTGCTTACTGAGCCGGCACACTTTTTCTCTCAGTTGTTTTCAACTATATTTGCCTGAACCCATGGATATAGAACTTGTGGGTAACCATGGGATAACTGTTGTGTAGGCTTTACCCTCTGAGCCACAGTGTTAGATCTACCCGGTGTCTGGTTGATAGATGGCCTCTTTCTTGCTTTGCGTATTCATGGAGAATCCAGGTCAGTGTGAGCTCCCACGCATAGAGACCACAACAACACCTTGATGGCTCGGTTGGTTGAGCTGGTTTCGACCTTGGATTTCTCATTCAAGTTTTAAATCCTATTTGGGCCCTTTTCCACATGCTAGCATATTAATTGAAGAACTTTTGAGCCTGCCCAGAGCTGTCTCCAGAGCCCTTCTCTAGACTAAGTACCAATAACTACAGTCCAGTCTCTTGTAGGAGCTTGACACAGATCAG